GAATGGAGACGTCACGTCGTGACCGACGAATTGGGATATCGCTTCGATAGACCAATCTACTTCGAGTGTAAACTAAACGAGCCAATGCACATTGGCATGCAATTATTGCATCCAGCTGCCGCTGATCACAGCGTGAGTATAATAAGGCAGCAGGTGCAATGCATACCAGGTTTTCGCTGAGGAGCCGAGCCGGCGACCCGGCCGCTCAGCGGTGGTACAGCAACCGTGGCGACGGGACGTGACGTCTCCGTTCCCTCCTTCAGGGAACGAGGGTTACCATACGTAACCGAGACGTTCCCTTTCAGTCGGTCACTACGAGTCACGTCGTGACCGACGAATTGGGATCCCTACCAAAGCGCCATGGTGCTGCCCCTTCCAGTGCCCTGTGCGAGCCGCCTGCGCCCCTATCTGGTGTAGGCCGGGGCTCGGGACAAGTAGTTCCACTCACCATTTTTCAAAGCACTACCTTACTAAGTGAGACTGGATAACACTGGGAAAACGTACCCGCTCCACTTGGAACAGGGACGCTGCGGAAGCCCCATCCTTCCCGAAGGAGGTTTCGGAAGCAAATACACATATAGCATCCGTTTAGGTGTATATGGAGAAATGGAGGTGATTGTAACCCTCTTGGAAAGGCAGAAGTCTGCCGGGGAAACACGGGCTCTATGGCTATACCGTGGGCTATACACATACGAGAACCGCTTAGGTCTCAATATGGAACCCAGCCTTCCACGGTTCCCGCGGATTCATCGTGAAGGCCCGGCGCCGGACGTTCCGCCGCGTCCGCTGCCGAGGGTGACGGAGGATCTCAACAGGGTCTACTGTAGGACACTCTGGAGCAGTTTTAGCAAGCCGACACTAACCGGGGCCTCTCGGCGCCACTACCCGTTTGAGGTGAGAACACAGGAGGATACCGGCTCCACACGGAGGCTATAGAATCTAGCGAACGTGTTGGGGGTCGCCCAGCCCGCAGCCCTACAAATATCTGTCAGCGAGGCGCCACGAGCCAACGCCCAGGAGGATGCAACACTTCTAGTTGAGTGAGCTCGCAGCCTGAATGGGCAGGGCACACCCTGTGCCTGATAAGCCAGGGTGATGGCATCCACAATCCAGTGGGCCATCCTCTGCTTAGAGACGGCATTCCCCTTCTGCCGGCCTCCGTAACAGACAAAGAGCTGGTCTGAGGTCCTGAAGCTTTGTGTCCGGTCTACGTAGCACCTTAATACTCGGACGGGACAGAGCAAAGCCAGGGCTGGGTCTGCCTCCTCCGGGGGCAGCGCTTGCAGGTTCACCACTTGGTCTTTGAAGGGTGTAGTGGGAACCTTGGGCACGTAGCCGGGCCGGGGCCTCAGGATTACCTGGGAGTCAGCCGGCCCAAACTCTAGGCACGAATCGTCGACCGAAAATGCGTGCAGGTCCCCTACCCTCTTGATGGAGGCCAGTGCAAGCAGGAGCAGATTTTTCAATGAAAGAAACTTTAGCTCAACTGAATGCAAAGGCTCGAATGGGCCCTGCTGTAGTGATTTTAGCACTAGAGACAGTCCAGAGAGGGTATTAGAGGGGGGCCGGGAAGGATTCAACCTCCTGACCCCTCTAAGGAACCTGATGACGAGGTCATGCTTACCTACGGACTTCCCATTCACCGGGTCATGGTACGCAGCAATAGCAGCAATCTGGACTTTGAGGGTGGAGGGAGACAGCCTTCGCCCCAGCCCTTGCTGCAGAAAGGAAAGCACGACCGCAATCGGGCATCTCCGGGGGTCTTCTCGGCGAGAAGAACACCACTCGACGGGTCGCTCCACTGGATCGGAGGAGCAAGAGGAGTGATGGTCCCCAGAGGGTTGGTTCCCTGCGGGGTTTGCCATCACTGTAACCCTCAAACCGCCCGTGCTACTGCAGGAAGTGGTTCTCGCCTGACCGCCAGAACGAGCCCCAGATCGCGGCAGCGGCAACGGCAACGGGACTCCGCCCCCTCGCAGGTAGCGGAGCCTGGTTCGCAGCTCCGAGATGGTCATCTTCCCGCAATGAGAACATGACTCATCCACGAAGGCCCCCTCAGCGTGCTTGATGCCCAGACACATGAGGCAGCGATCGTGACCATCACCCGGTGCCATGTAATGACCGCACCCAGAAACGCACGGGTGAAACGGCATCCTTATAAGGACGATCCGTCGTCTTTATAAAGACGCACCCGTGGAGCTCTTTTAGAGAAATTTGCTCT